GTTGATTTGAAAAGGTTTCAACCTTTGCCTTGATGAAATTGGTTTAGACAAGGAAGACTTAGCACAACCAACCTGTTGCATCACCAAAATGAATAAAAATGTGGATGCTTTCCATGCCTAAAAAGGGCAAACCTTCAAAGAAAGCCCTGAAAAAAAAGAAAACTAGACAAATGTATATAAGAGAAACTACAGAAAAGCATGGAAACTCTTGTGATACGTATAAAAGAACAATAATGACATTTTGTATTTTACCTGTGCAAAGTCAGGGCGGGTTGAGAGGTTGTGCTGAGGCATGGGGAATAATGTTAATCATGTTCACTATCTTAATTTAGCATGTTAGCGTGCTAGTACTCGTTGCTCGTATTGTGCAACAAAGAATGGCATTGGAACAATTCAAACCATTGGCAGTCAAGCCAATAGTTATTGAAACATTTCAGTAAACACCGTAAAAGTGAATCTAATATTGACGCTTGCAAAAACGTCAGGGGATTATCAAAGCCATAGAGGTGCATCTTCTGGGCACCATTAATATCTATACAAAGACTTTTGTCTGTCCAGCAGATGTTGAAATATTTCACAAAAAGCTTACGCATGGGGAATAATATGAATCATTGTCACTATCTTAGTTCAGCATATTAGGAAGCCAACATTTGCACATTTGAGACTTCCTGGAATGTCATTAATTTGTTTGTATTTTGTAACCAATAATAATATTAGAAACATTTGACCTCATGATTGGCACAAAAGTTGTTACAAGTCATTATTTTGCAACCCAAAAATAAGCAAATAGATGATGAAACATTTCAGTAAAAACATGTGAATCTCATGTTGATGTTTGCAGAAAAGTATGGGGATCATCAAAGCCATAGAGATCATCATCTGGGGACCATGAACGGCTTTACAGTGATTGTTGTCCATCCAGTAGATGTTGAGATATTTCACAGCAAGCATGAGAGGAAAAGTCAGGGGGAACCAAAAGATTCATATTTTGGGACCATAATTGTTTTCAACCAACGTATGGAATCCGGAGGATGAGATATTTCAGTCTGGACCAGAAACTTGTTAAATCAGCTGAATAAAAGGGCAAGATATTTAACACGAAAATTTGATCAGAGTAAAATGCAGAGTCAATTGTTTATCCAGCTCTATTTCCGCAGCTCTGTGACCCAGAGCGAGACAACATGAGCTACAGCGCCGCTGATACACTTCCCATCCCGTCACCCCAGGGCCTTGGACATCACCATTCTGCTGACTGCCTCCATACACAAAACAGGAATGGATGCATTTCTTTTCCACAGTCACAGTATGACAAAACATATATCCCCAGTCATCCATATTGTGTGCATTATGTATGGGGTTGGACAGGATATACAAGCCCTCCTTCTGTCCTTCCAACATCCGCCCTCTCTCCTCTGCAGCAGACCCCACTGAAGAGCCACATCTGCAGGAGCAGGCGCTGGCAGCATATCTGTGTTCAATTATAGAGCAACATCCCCATCAAACAGTCCCGCAGCACATTTACCCCAACTTCTACCCTCCAGGGTGGAGCTGCAAACAGAATGTTCCCTCTCTGTCTCTCCCTTTCTGTTGTGTTTCCTCCTCTCCTTCATTAAATCAGGGAGTTCACATGCATTAGTAAATACTTTTTCTTGGCCCGAAGCTTTTTAATGTTCCACTGGGTTGAGTTGACAAGCTTCCTGGAAAATGTGGAGGTCTTGAAAAGCTCATGTTTTCGAGATTACATCTATACTTATGTAAAGCAAGAAAGAAATGGAAGAAAAAAAGAAATCTTAAGTTCTGCTTCTACTGTGCAGAAGAGCAAAAAAAAACTGAACAGTTACATGACTCGCACAGCCACATGTTGCTTTAAACTCATGTGGCTTTGTTTTACTTGTATTTCTTGCCTCGCACGTCATCAAAGAACCCGCACATTGTCCTTTCTTCTTCACAGAGACCTCCCAAGATGGTGCAGATTGACATGCAATGATCTTCAGAAACTCAATTTGCTCTGAAAATAAATGAGATTGTTTGGGGACAGGGATGAAATAACAGAAGAGAGGTGTGCTGTTTGTTCTCCTAAACAAAAACATATTTAAGATCCATTTCATTTATTTGTTGTTACAGCTTTTACAGGCTTCTGCAAACAATGATAACCACTATCTTTACAAGAGCTTCTCATTGCACTCTGTGTGGTAGGAACACCACACAAATGAATGACGCACGAGTGTGAACACGAGTGGAAAAAGGTTGACGGCAAAAGCTGCCAGTCTTTCATTTGTTCTGTAGTACCTCTGTGCCTCTGCCGCTATATACGGTGATGTAGCCCCACGTAGTCCTATCCTCCACAAGGAGCATCCATAATGAAGTGCATTAGTGTTTTTGTAGAGTAGGCTACAATGAGGAGAAGAGTGGAGGGATGAGGTGCAGGTAGAAAGGGTGCTGGTAGAAGAGAGCTCTTTGGAGAGTAATGTGTACACAATGGCTTCTCTTTGAAAAAGCAACTGCTTGTTTCCCATACAAAAATATCGCTTTGCCATCACAGAAGAGTGAGGCAGAGTTGAAGTGCAGCGCTCCATAGCGGATACGGGCGGAGGAGAATAGGGTGATTGTGTAGATTTATCAAAGGATTTCAAAGTGTGCAGATACAGGGGGAGCTTCATAGAAATCCCATACCATTAAAGGCTGGTCATTCATTGAAAAAGATGATTCAGCAGGGATGTTATTAAGTAAGGATGATTAGCATGACGAAGAGGAATATCATGTAAAGAGCAGGCGACGGTTTGTGATGCATGCCGTTAGCTTTTCCGAGGAGCCGATGGAATGATAATAGTGACGAGGAGGACCTCATATCACGCTCAGTCATCTTCACACTCAGTAAAGTCAGCACATTTCTGCTGCCATTAAATGTATTATGGCTCATTGGGGAGTGACACCGCACACCATCAGTGTCATTGTAATGAAATTCAAGAAATATTCCCCTCTTTATGATAGGAACAATCATTATTACTAAATACTCTGTTTAAATGACTGGCATTACATGCTTGGAAGTCATGTATTATTCACCTCACTTCATCGAGGAACTAATGATTTTCTTTTTACCCAGAAGTCTACGCTCCATCGGGCAACGGGGATAATTGTTCCCCCAAATGGCTGTGTGATCAATTCAGCTTGGCAGACGTTATTCTATTTCGTATACTTAACTTACAGGTCTGAAGTTAACAGGGCTTTACTTAGTGATGGCAGACATTGGTTGCAGTGACCCTGTAACCAGCGGCAACATTTTCTTTAGTTCAATATTCAGTGGTGTGAGCTGATTTCAAAATGCACAGCGAAGAGCTCCTCGCTGATTTACACTATAGGCTATGAGCAGAGTGATGGGACATTTTAATGAGGACTCTGTAAAATCCCATTTGCTCGCATGCATCGAGAACTTATTGGTGTTCTCTAGAAAAATCAGTTATTGCAATTATTGTTATCAAACCAAGCTGAAGCAATTTCACAAACTTGACATTTTTTAAATGATTCAAATAATGTAAGTTCTCAGATATACGGACGCTCTGTGAATATTAAAAGCCAAGCATCATGCACTGCAGCAGGAATGCTAAATATCTTCTCACAGCAGTTTTTGTACACTTCAAAGTTCAAACTGCATAAATGTTAATTCAAATGTAATGAAGGCTTATTTTCTTTGTGGTTTCTGAGAATGTTAACAGTTATTACTTTGTGGGTCTGTGTAAGCTTTAGTCAGTCACTTATTAAATTAGATGCCACATTGTATTATGTCACATTGTCACTGTTTCATTTCAGAAGTTGCACGAGTTCAGTAACATAGGGGTTTAGAGGGTGTGTGGGTGTTGGTCCGATCATCACTGCAGGTCACTGAACTGCAGCAGGGTTATTCTACTCTCAATCTTTTTGCTATTTTATAGTCATACAGTCCACCGAAATATTATATCAGTTTCTTCACCACTGCGTTTTCACAAAGTATGCCACGGGAACATTCAATTTAATTCAATTCAGGCACCTGCGATCAATTTGAGATGATATCATATGCCCATTTAACACAATAAGTTACTTCTAAATCAAATCACAAAAAGCAACTAAAATTTGACAACTTTATTGCTGTCGTTTTAATTTGAAAAAAAGATAGACCTGTGTGTTGTTTACCATGAAGTGCAACGTTTGTCATGTTTAAACTATTTGAATGTCTAAGAAAGAGCTACTTGGATAGAGAAGATGACAGGCGTACTATAGGAATTTCAAAATGAAAGCATATACTGAAGATGACGATATGTGTTGATGTTTTCACTCCTTCCAACAACGTTATAGATCATTTATCACTAAATCGATCCATATCATTGTAGCCGGTGGGAGCTAACACTAACAAGCACACTAACAAGCACAGAGAGCCTGACATTACAACACACACACACACACACACACACACACACACACACACACACACACACACACACACACACACACACACACACACACACACACACACACACACACACAGTGAATTAATTATCTGCTCAGGACACATTATTGCATAGCAAATAGTTGTATGTTGCTATGTTGATGCTGTGAACACCATATATAGAAAGCGGTTTCAAGCTGTGGGTTGTTTTTGCAGGGCTCTCAAAACAACAGTTTGTTTTTCAGGACATCATAGAATTGGGAATCTCTCCCACTTGTTGGGGGAATTGCTTTACTTCTTGAAGGTCTTTCGGACTGCATTTGGTTCTTATATTTCCCAAAGCAATTATAGTCATACTGAATTTAGTTGTCTTCCGCTCTCCATGGTGGGCTATGGGGACTTTTCTTTTTTTACAGGATCGGGCTTCAGAGTGTTTGTATGCAGTTATTATGGTCAGAGACACAGCGCACTCTAGTGGTGATGGATGAGACATCGCCCTCTGTGTTTTATTTGAGTGTTAAAAACAATGAGGCATACAAGCAGGTGTGTGTAATCGTTCCACTGCTCTCTTTTTTTTCAGGGGTGTGTGAGTGCTCAGACTTCACTACTGGGATGACCTGTGAGCACTGCCTGGACGGTTACTACGGCAACGCTTTGATTGGCACGCCTGCGGACTGTCAGCATTGCCCTTGCCCGGACCGTACCAGCTGTGCCAAAATTGCTCAGACAGGACAGGTGGTCTGCACCAACTGCCCTGCAGGACAGACAGGTGAGACAATATCTTTTTCTTTTTTTCTGGCACCACCCTCTCAATATTTCTCTTGAAGGAAATGATGAGAACAAAAAACCTAATTTGCAGGGATTCATTTGACAATGCCACCTTTGATTCACACATCTGATATTACATTTAGTTACATCAGAGTCAGAGGTGACATGGGGGATGACCTCCAACCTCATTCATTCATCCTGTCTTTTGCTTTCACCTGACACCCCGCCCACCCCCCCACGTAGGGATCCGGTGTCAGATGTGTGAAGATGGTTACTATGGTGACCCGCTGGGACAATCTGGTTCGGCTCGCCCATGTGTGAGATGCGACTGCAATGGTAACGTGGACCTCAACGCGCTGGGAGTGTGCGACCACCTCACTGGGCGATGCCTGAAGTGCCTGGGACACACAGAGGGAGAACACTGTGAGCGCTGCCAGAGGGGTTTCTACGGCGACGCCCTCAACCAGACAGCTGTGCAGAAGTGCAAAGGTGAGTAACTGAGGAGAGACTCATGCTAAATCATTATTTATGTAGAAGTGGTGAAAGAGAGTGATTCTAATTTGGCCAGAGAAGTCCCTCTTAAAAATGTACTTTACTTCTACTACTGTTGTTTGAGCTTCCCGCTGCAGACACTAAAATAACTGCTGTTTTTCATACAACTTTCACATATAATCCATTCACCTGTGCTCATCTTAAATCTGAGTTTCGGATGTGTACACTGAGCATGACTTGTGACAAAACAATTGATTGGATGTCAATCATGGTCCAATGTGCAAAAATCTGAATCGGAAATCCTTTATATGTCCTAAAGCGGGAAATGTACAATGTTATTTCAAATTGGACAGAACAATTAATGACAAAATAAAATATTAAAGGGGCCCTATTATGCTTTTGGAGTTTTTCCCTTTACCTCCGGAACATAGTGACATCACTGTGTAACACTCGAGATTATATTGGCTAACGCTCCAACACTTTGTATGTGATAAGGCTAAGGGGTGGGACATCTCTAAGCGGTTGGACAATCAGCACATAGCCGGCCAGCTAACCAATCAGAGCAGACTGGGCTCTGGTTTCAGACAGAGGGTGAAAAGAGGTGCTGCAGCACAGGCAGTATGAGAAAAGTAAAGAGCTTTCTGAACATTAAAGCATGGAGACATGCAGCGTTTCCGCCAGGGGGGCATCTTGCTGTCATTTGACGCCCTTATTCAGCTCGGGACACCCTGAACACGTGCCGAGGGCGTCCAAAAATAAAAAAGAATTCGAGAGAAGATCGAGAAAAAGGACAAGGACATCCCGCTGTTGGAGGGGCGAAGGAGTCTGGTGGGATTCTTTTCGGAGTATTGAGGATCGTTTCCCCGACATCGGCGATGCCTGCTACAGGACAACACGGAACGTGCGCGATTTGGACGCGATGAGCGGGGGGGTTTTAGTGGAGCGTGACCTGCGAGCACCAGAGCCTCGCAGCGGCGAAACTGAGGCTCCGTGGTAAACTGTGGTAACATGAAGAGCCGTTTGGGAGCCGGCTAGAGCCGAGCCAAATGAAATGAATATAATAAAGCTCACTAACGTAAAAAGACAGTATCTATAAGGGACGGCTCAAGTCAAAATTCTATTTTATTCATAGCTGCTTTTATTTTTCTATTTATCTTCAAACATTCCTGGAGGGTGTCTTCACAAATCCTTGAGTCCTCTGTTAAGACATGCACGTCATGCCATGAAAATACCTTTAAGGATTCAAATGGTTTTGTTCTCTGCAGCGGAGTCAAGTAATAGTCGAATTCCATTAAAGATTACATAGCCTTGAGTCTAGCTTTTAAATGAACTCAATTCTGCAGTTCACGTTGGACTCTTTAGTCATGAAAGGCAAAAGCTTAAAATGGGGTGTAGAAATGGCAGAGTCAGAAAAATATCTTCAAGAAAAGGAAAAGATAGAAAGGTCTTTGGGTTCAGAGAATTAAAAAAAGGTTTAAATGTAATGAAATGTTGAGATAGGACTACACAGACATACCCTAAGTCTAATAGCTATGATATGTTCCTCCTCGGACTTTCTAATAATACTTCATTTATACCTGTACGCCTCGGGAGGAATTTTTGTACAGAACAATGTCAAGGAAAGATCCAGGAGTCTCTTTGGAGCTGTCTTTAATTTTCTTCCATTTCCTCAAGCAATGGAGTGAAATCAATAAAAAAGTCCTCCATGCTAAGGTGATACACTGCCAACATATGAGCAGTTACCAATGTAATATTTTAAAAAATGTTTTATGTGTTTCTTCTAGCGTGTAGCTGCAGTCCTGGAGGAACCTCTGGCTATGTGAATGAATGCCACCCTCACACAGGAAACTGCCTGTGCCTCGGTCATGTGACCGGACGGGACTGCAGTTATTGTGAAATGGGCTTCTTCAACCTCCAACCAGGCGTAGGATGTGAGAGGTATAAACACCTGTCGGGTAGATTTGTTGATAAGACAAATGTATATACAGCACCTCATATATTATCTTATTCAAGTTTTTCTGCTTTTTTTGTGCATTACTCTCTTCAGAAAACTTCAGTTTTCACAGGAAACAGCTTAATGTGGCTTTATGCAACAAATATACTTAGTTAGTTTGAAAAAAAGATTGTGTTTTTGGGTAAAATAACTATGAAGGTGGCAAGTTTACGTGACAAATTACTGAACTTTGGCAATTATATCAATTCTGGTTTCAAATGGGATACACACAGCCATATCCTGGTTGAAATCCCTCTATTATTGAGACATTTTCCTGCCTCTCTTAGGTGCAGGTGTAGCCCTATTGGCTCAGCGTCCGACGCTTGTCATCCAATCACAGGGCAGTGTGTGTGTCGTGCAGGAGTGGAGGGGACGCTGTGTGATTCTTGCCGAGTGGGCTTCTTTGGATTCTCGTCACGAGGTTGCAGAGGTACAGGACTTTACTGCAGGCATCCTCTAATCCTCTAATACACCTTCCAACACAGATCCCACATGAAGGCATTTCTAACTCTTCAAATGTTTACCTCTGCCCCCCCAAACCCACCCCCCTCCCTCTTCCTGTGCCCCCCTGCTCTCCTCTGGCCTCTCGCAGCCTGTAACTGCGACCCCATGGGCTCCGTCTCCATGCAGTGTCACGGTAACGGGACCTGCCACTGTCGCCAGGGCTTCGTGGGTTACAAGTGTGAGAAATGTGAGCTAAACTATTTCCACAGCAGAGACACCCACCAGTGTGAGGAGTGCCCCGTTTGTTATGGCCTTGTGAAGAAACAGGTGAGATTATGGTTGTTTGTGTAATAACCGTTATTTGCGGGAATTTTCAAATTCTACAATTTTCCAGTGATTTTTAACATGCATTACTGGTTTTTTGGGCATGGTTCGACTGAAACGTGCAAAACATTTAAACATCAGAATGCCATTGAAGTTGTTATGGCCAACTTGTTGCCTGCAGCAGATATGGACAGCAGTAAATAACTTCATAAGTAATCAGCGAAATTGGTACAACTGCAAAGCCTAGTAGCCCTTTAATTTACCCAGTGCACATTGCTTCAGCCTAAGTCAGGGGTCGGCAACCTTTTTGATATGAATTACCATTAAAAAAAAAAATTTCATCAGCGCGTGCTGACGATCGTGAATTATCAACGGGGGAGGGGGGTGAGGAGCTCGACGCTCGTGAACTGTCAACAGGAGGGCGGGGGGAGCCTCGCTGCGGGGAAGCAGTGTGTGGACCTGCCAGCGCAACTTACATGATGCCGAATTTAACAAACAAATTTAAATAATTTGTTTAAACGGCATAATAATAAGGACGATCGTCCGCCCCTGTGTAGCATGTTATTTCGATGAGTGATGAGCAGATCGCCACTGGACTTTCAACTAAAGACGCAGCCACGCAAAAACTGCGTCATTTGTACAGCTCCTTATGGGTAGGCCTACTGCAATTAGTGAAGTGCTTTCCTCTGTGGTGAAAGGATCAGCACTGCACCACGGAGGAAAGCGGCAGAAAGTCACCTGGAGTTAAAGAGAGCGGGGCTGCGTTGCGTGCATGGCTTCCTTCTGCAGGTAACGGGGAGACGCGCTCTGGCGGCGGTCTCGTTCAGGATCAGAAAATAAAATTTAAATATTTTGCACACTTATTCCACTTATTCCTAGTTTGCCACTGGTTACGGTGCAGCGTTCCAATGGTGGCACGCGCTTGCCAGGGGTTGCCGACCCCTGCCCTAAGCCCTTTATGTACGAGCCCCCAAATAGGTTGCAGTGAAAAGCATTAGCATTTTCATTATGTATCAATAAATGTATCATATTTATTGGATAGGGCAATTCATACCTAAATTAATTTTGAGATTTTTGAGGGGGTCCAAAAGATCATTTGGACAGGGATTTACCCCATGCTGCCTGCTCTAGTTGAATAAGTTATGGGTGCATGGCCTCACATACACTCAATCAATGGTTCAAATACATTTGATGCAAGCTTTACATTTTGCACGAGCAGATCTATTTTCCGAGCAAAATAACTGCTCCCTTCCCCAATTTGTCAAATCTGCCATTTATAAAGCAATGAGTTGTCATCCTGATCCCTGGTCGTTTTTTATAAATTTTTTGGCAAAAGCTGACCAATATGCAGACTAAATACAACCCCTTTGCCCTTGAGGCTTACAATGAGCCCAGATTATACTCTGTAGCTTGCAAAGGTGTGGTAGATTACGCTGTAGGAGCGCTCACAGCATGCATTTCTACTGTATATTGTTCATATAGTGCCCACTGTGTCTTAGCGAGCACTGAGTTTTGGGGTACTTACCGACCAGCTACAGCAAGCTTAACATTGACTGACCACAGCAGCACTTTAAAAGGTCCCTTAGGCACAGCAGATTTTAAAGAGTGTTTTTTTCCTGCTGAAAACAGCAAACTGATTCACCCAAACAGTGATATGAATTTGCTGGGAGTAAACCAAAACAGCCATGTTGAAAGAAGCTGAAAAGCTCTGCATTGCTGAGACTGGGTAAATGTTTCATGATTACAAGCTACTTTAGCTTTCTTTTCCTACTCTATTGAAACATATTAAACTCCAGGAGTGCATCGTATTTGAACTTTCTAGTCTTGATTTGATTGGGACAAACAACTTTTGTCTTTACTGATTGATCTTCTTTTTCTGATTTGAATACATACAACCTTTAAAATACCTATAAAATACTAAAAGATGACCATCACAAGTTTGCACAACGAAGCTTCTGAGCAATAATGATGCTTCATCGAAATGTAACTTGGGATAAAAAGCTGCTAATCCTCTCATATGTGACTGCGGAAAATGTGTGTTTTATTCTGATGAATGTTGTCTTTGCTCTGCATTTGTATAGCTAGGTGCAATTTGTTCTTGAATCAGCACAGTCCGCCCTGCAGGCTGCCTTCCTGGACCCGCATGAAAGCCTCATGGATCATTAGTATTTGTAGATTGCAAGCAAACAGTAGATGTGCAGTGAAACAGAAAGAGACGTTTGCCCTAATGCTCTCCTGTGCAGCTTCTTTCTGTCCCTTTAGATTTGTTGCAACCCACGTCTGTATGCTAAGGTGCTTCGCCCCCTGGATTCGCCTCCTGAAGCCAATTCAATAGCAGCGGCATGTTCTGTCTTCTCCCTGTACATATTCTGAAGTGGCTGTGTGTTCTCTCCGGACTGGCTTGTACCTGTGTGAATGCATGCAGTGATTTCCACAGTGTTAGCAATTCAGTGAACATCCCAAGCCTTGTCTGCTCCAAACACCTTCAATTACTCCTCAGTCTCCCCCAAGCTCTTCTTTTCTACCTCGCCCACTCTCTCTGTCTCCGCTCTCAATGTCATCTGGCTTCACACGCAGAGAAGTAAAGACTAACGAGGGAAAAGGGAGGAAGGTTGGGAAAAGACAGAGATTTGCGATCGACGATCAAGAAAGATATGAAAAAGACTCAGGAAAACAGCTAAATAAAGAAATGGAAGCAATTATTAGAGGTATATTTGATACCTGTTAAAAGCAGTAGTGCACAGTATGTTAAAGCATTTTAAACTAGTGGTAAATGGACTGAAGATGCAAACCAATCAACACCTCACTTACCAGGTAATAAGATCAGCTATTTCTGCTCCCGGTGAACACACCTTATGTGTACAACATGTCCAACATGCCTCCTGCTTTGAAAAAGGAGTGTGATTACAGTCTCTTGTTATATAGATCTAGACCATTACAGAGTCAACAAATCTGAGCACCTTCATTCCTCTCTCAGACCTCCATTCTCCAACAAGTCTAATAGAGTTATCTCCTGATATGCCTTCTCTGGCCACATGCTTTGCAGAGAACAGTGTGACTGTATGTGGAAACGGTGTTCCATCCTCATCCTGTTGTTGATATTCATTTATTCATTGCTTTTGGTGAAATACTAAACGTTGATATCCTGGTGTACCGAGAATCAAAGTCCTATCTCAATGCCTGTGTCTGAATAAATAAATAAGAGCTGGGTAGATATCTCTTTTGTTGCTGTAGTGTTGTTGTTTTTAGTTCTTGCTAAATCTGTATTCTCACTGACGCCGACGGTGATACATCTTGCTGCTGTTTCAGGCAGAGCAGCTGAGGACGCGCCTGCAGGATTTGGAGAAGTTGCTGGCTCACTTTGATTGCCGAGGTAGATTTGGGAAGCAGCACCACCTGCTGAAGTATCACATGGCCAAGCTATATGAGCATGAGCACCAGAGGGAGGATTCTCTACCCAACGCTCTGGAGGATTTTCTAGCCTTCCAAGGTAACAGCAGCCAGAAGCCCAGATAATTCCACTTGGCCTGACCCCCCATTTAATGTTTCCTATGTGGTGGTCACGCCAGAGACACTTAACAGCCTTTGCCTTGTGAAATGTGAAGCCAGTTATGTGCCATTGTTAGTATCGTGTCATGTTTTTTTCTGCACGATGATAACATGCCATATCAGTGCCAACAAGACCAGCGAGCATGGCTAAGAAATTTGACATCAAACCGCCCACGGTGTTCTGCGAAACGGGCTGTTGCTCTGTCTGTGTCCTCAGAGTTAGAGATACAACACAACAAAGCGATTAAATCAGGAAGCTGACAACAGTACAAACGCCTCCCAATTACTTTAACACAATGCTGATATATCCTCATTATCTTTGGAGGGGGAAGGGCTTACGGGCTCAACTGCACAGGCCAAATGGAGACAAATCATAACAATATAAAACAAGGCGCAGTGTGACCAACTTAATCCCTATTTATGTGACAGGCGGTGTATCTCTAATCCCTGGTTTATTATGATTATAGTTGCAATCACGATAACCTTTGTCTAACAACCTCTGTACCAACACCCTCATACTTACACACACATACACACACGCGTATCGTTAGCAGCCATGCTCTTTATGACACTGGGAGGCCTATTAATGATTTAATGAGCATGTGCGGGAAAACACCGGCACTCACACTTTTGATCTGCTATTTTATATGACAAAAAGCCACAGAGGCAAGCGATCACGCACAATGCAGAAACACACATGCAGACATAAAACACTGTGTGCCTGTGGATCCTTGATTTTTATTTATTTGTTGCTATTTTATTATACTATATATATACTATAATATAGATATTTTATATAGTGTAGTTTATGGTGTAAATGTTTTCTTATAGAATTGTATTTTTTTTTTTTTATCTTTTCATTGTAAACCTTTATATAAATATTATTATACAATATTTTATTTATATTTTATTTTATTCCAAAATAAAGCAACTATCACAAATTTTCTCCTATGATAAAAAAAACTATAGGTAAGGTATACTGATTTTGATTATTCTGATTCTGAAAAGGCATTTAATAGTATATTGAGTATATTTGAACAGTCTTAAAAATGCAAAATAACATACATTTCTCTTTATGGTTTCTTTTACTGATGTTGCGTTGTTTAAACCCCAAAATAATTGGTACTATCTAAATTAATCTAATAATTATTAACGTCTTGCACAAATGACACGGAGATGAGAGTAAACCGGAAAATTATGTGAAAAATTGGAATTAAATGTCATTGCGCCCGGCATTAAAAAAAGTCTTAACTGCAGAAACCCTGTTGTACTGCTTCTACTCAGCTCCAGTGTGGATAGGCAGCCAGTTAGAATTCACTGGGACCAAATTAACTCGAAAAAATTCCCTCTGGTTCAGTTTTCTTTCTCACATCAAACACAAGGGGTGAGAGATGTGTTTTTAACTCCTGCATTCTAGCTGCAAACAGTCGGAAGAAAATTGTACTTGCTGAAATAATCAGTGAATAACTTAATGTTCTTTTATTTGCTTTGTGCCCTTTGTTCTTGCAGAGGCGCGGGAGGCCTTCATAAAGCAGTTTTCCTTGCTGGAAGCGTCCGCGGGCTCCCTGTTAGCCCAGCTGAATGGCATTACAACCACTTTGAACTGCAGCATCAGCATGACAGAGATGGAGAGCGGGACGGATGAAGGGAGCAGGGGTGTGTGTCAAGCCTTCACTGACACACTGTTCATTGTTAGGGCGTCTCAGAAACAGCTAAAGCAGGCGACACTGGACCTGGACAGCATGGTAGGCGAATCAAACACATCCTGTCTTCATCATTGTGTATTTACTCCACAGAGCTCTTGTAATTTCCATGTATTTCATTGCAGAAAATGCTCCAGGTAGCTGTAACATAAGAGTTCACCCAGTCCACAAGCATACTGATATTGTTTGTGACACAATTGATTTTTTTGTCCTTATTATGGGATGCTGCAGTTTACTCCTCTTGGTGGAACTGCTCTCTATAGATCCTCACAGATCCCAAAAGCAAAACAATATTTCATCCTCCACCACCCTCCACCAGAAAAGCAAAGGAACGTTTGATAGGCGCTAAAATTAGTGTCACTGCGGCACTTGTAATGTATTACGGATACTGCCGCTGTGTTATTTAAGTTTCTGGGAGATGAGAGAGAGCTTGTTTTGCCAATATATAACACTCTATTTCGGATTGTGTGCACACCACAGCCCTTATCACTTGGGTAAGCCTGAAGCTGCAGCATTTTAATTCCATATTAATAAGCCGAGCAGCCACCCAAAAATGAAGAACAAATGCAAGCACTGCAATTGTTGATTTCATTTTTATTTGCATTTTCCTAAATTAAATGTACCCCAGGAAGCATTTGACTGTATACACATAACATTTATCAAGTCAAAACTTCAGGGATTTATTTTGAGAGAGGTTCCTTCAAATGCTTCTGCTTTGAACGTTATATTTAATAGGAGAGGTTCATTAGAGGAACTCATTATTTGCAGAATTAAAGCCTCTGTTTTGAGGCTTGGTCATGACTTCGGTCCAGCAAAGCAATCCAAATATAGCTAAATGAACCTCTACACATAAAGATATGTTTTTTTAAATGTCCGCCCTGATTTGAATGACAGCTTTCCCACGGATCCACGATTACTGTATCTGAGCAGACAGTGCTGAGTCTAAAGAAAAACTCAGCTGTGAAAAGTTCCTTAATTACTACATGGAGACTTGAGTTCACATGATTTCATTAAACAGTCGAACAGTCTGAAGTCTCCACGAGGCCAAACGTACTATTTGTTCATGTCTCAGACCCCCTCAGCATGTTGCTTTTGCCTTATTCATAGATCATTCCTTTTGAGATGGTGTCAGGCCCTAACAAATGGAACACGATGGTCAATGACTCACAGGCCCTACTGAAAAGGTAAGTCAGTTCAATGCACCTAGAAAATAATAATAAAGCTTTACTTATTTAGCACTTTACATATAGCAGGTGCAGCTCAAAATACTTTACAAAATGGCACACATCACAAATCAAAACAAAGAACAAGAAATAAGGCTAAGGTAAGGCTTTAGGAAACATGTAGCATAGCAAGCAAATATAACAGTTTAAAAGACACAAGGAGGTAAAAGGTATGATATTACAAATAAAATACAACAAAATAAATAATGATTCTCTCGTTAGCGTTAGCGTGACATAACACGCTAATGTCGCTAATCAAAAGCTGACGGCCTGGGAGAAAAGTTGGATGGATAGTAATGTTTGAAACTTGGTCTATCCTTGCCTTCTCCTCTTGGCTCACCGCTGACACTGTGGTTATGCAATTGTGAATCGATGCCCTGGGCTACTCTGAGCATGCAGCCTTGTTAAGTGTTAGTTACAGAAATGTGGGCCAGAGAGGGGGAAGTTGTCGATGCTGAAATCCATTTCATCTGTCCTCAGGCGGTTGTAATGGTCTGTTATTCTATGTTACTCACTTCCTCTGTTTTTTCTCCATCCCTTTCAGTCAGAGAGAAATGGCAGAGCACATGGAGGCCGTAGCCAGCAGGGCGGTGAGAGCCTCGGAGCAGACCTTCAGCTTCCTGATGGATCTACTGCAGGACAACTCCACAGAGGAGTACATCAGGAGCCTAACGGAGCAGTGAGCACAATAACCAATCCTAACACACGCCCACCCAGACAAACACAAGCAGGAAGAATGCCTCCCATTCACATAAAGCTTACAGTTTGGCGCCATCCCAACAAGCTGCATGACTCTGTGGATTATTGTGCTTTCTCACTTTATTTTCTCACACAGTGCACCAATGTATTACAACTCAAGCTCCTCTTCTTCACAGCAGCCTGTTAGAGCACATTGGAGTTTAGAAGTAAGACATTTAGCCACAGGGGGACAGCTTCTCTCCACTGTAAGCCTATTGCCTTCTCGGATTTGCAGCACGCTCGCTGCATCTCCTAGCGTGTGATTGCTCCGAGGATTATCCTGAATGCTCGACAGAATGATTCAAAAAGCCCTCCGGTGGCCATGATGAGAGCAGGGGGCGAGGAAACTCAAAATTGATTACCCCCTCCCAACAGTAGTCAGCACGGTCCAGAAGGGTTCTGTTAATCTTTGCAAAACTGCGTTATGACAGTGTGTGTATGCGAGTCAGTGTGTGTGTGTGTAGCTTTATAGGATATGAATTGAGTGGTTTATTCACAGATTGGCAACATTAAATCGCATTCCCCAACATTTTTACCCATGTGTTTGGACTTAAGCAAATCACATGCATTTTAGACGCAGGGCAATCTGAAGTATTCACACATTCAGCCACAAACAATAGGCCTCTATTAGAAGGCTTCAGATTTGACCAATATCTATTGCAGTATTGCTTTTGTTAGAACAACTAAAATGACAACGGTTCACTTATTACCAATATTCAACCTCTATTTTAAATGCAGCTGCAGTACAAGCAGAAGAAGAGTGACATTGTACCGCCTAAAAAAAGTCTGTTATGAACGGCGAAGCGACCCAGGAGCTCGAATATATTTTACAAAAAAGAAAAAACCTTTATTGAATATCCTTAAAAAGCCAGCCTTCGTTTGCTCTTACATTTTCAAGTGCCTGGATTGCATTCCTGGTAATCCTGTTTTCCAGGAGCATGGAAATCATTTTGGATTTACCGTTGAGTTTACAGAACATTGAGTCATCTTTTGTTCCTGACGATTTATCGGTCATCAAAATAGTTGCAAAGGATTTTCTGTTGATCCACACAACATGTATTTGTCAACTTACACTACTTTTGCAGCTCTAGTCTCGGGGCTCTGAAGTACAATTCTGAATCACTGCAAAAAAGAAGGTGAACCAGTGGAAATCAGCAAAAGCAAGTAGCGATTTTTCGGCTAAACTGAAGTCAAAATATCAAATTTGACCAAAAAAACGAAACTTTGAGAGAAGCCCCAAAAGTCAGGGACATTTTGATGGCGGAGCAATATTTTCCTTACATCCAGGAATATTATAAAATCCTCGTGTAACCCTTCCAGATGTATCTTGGGACCCTTTGGCGTTGTCTGGTCCCTTAGATAGGGAACTCTTGCTACAACAGTAACATACAGTATTACTTATATATCAGTCCTAATCTAAAAATGTAATATTTAATCATATGTTTGTCACAGAGGTCATTTTTCTGCGGAACTTTAGCTTATCCTTCTGATACTTACAGTAAAGTACATTTTTCTAATACTGGTTTGACTTATAATGGAGTATTTTTACATTGTTGTATTGATATTTTTACTTTACCTGACAATTGCAATATGACTTGTTTTAAAAGCTCCTTACAAAGAGTTTTAACAAAACACGATAAATTAATCATTGTGAAAATCAATTAGTTTCAACTTCCCAAAAGGCATATGGTTTTTGCTGAACACTGGATACAGGAAGAGAAAGTGACACAATGTGAATTCTGTGTCTGTTGAGGCAAAACAGATTGATTACAGCTGTGGAGGTGATAAAAATGGCGCTGCACTGTGTCTAACAGCTTTCATGAATTCATCATGATTTCTTCGCACACTGTTGCTTTATCTTTTAATCCTCTTTACTCACTTATAACAAGCTGCTTTGTCTTCCCCCCAGATTTATATGGATTTCAATATGGCACGGCACAATGCTTTTCACATTTCTCTAGCCAAAGATATGAAATGTAATGTGCTGAATGATGTGCAACATATGTGCGGCTGTAATGATACTGCACTATAGAATCTCTTACCTCCTTTTCATCATCTTTACAATAATAAAGCATTAGATCAACAGAAGAAAAGGGGCTATGGATTGGTGCAGGAATGAGCCGTAAACCCTGAAGTCAGTCAGTATTTGACCACTTCCGGGTTCCTTCTTCTTAAGATTGGTTAGATGAATAAGCTCTATTGTTAACACAAGCTAAAGACATTTTAAAGTGTCCCTTTGCTTTTAGGGTTTTCCCTCTCCTGTAGTGTGTTCTATAGGTTTGATGCTAAATGGTCTGCAAAGGCTGGACCCCCTGTGTTCCCTCCAGAGGGAGTTTCCCTCCCACACACTCCCAAAAAGCCTCCATTGGACTCCTTTGTTTACTTTTGTAACATAATGACATCACTATGTAACATTCTTGCGTTTGGATTGCACTCAAACACATTGTACGTGAGAGGCTAAGGGGCGGGACACAACAGAGCCGGCCAGCTAACCAATCTGAGCAGACTGGGCTCTGGTTTCAGACGGAGGGTGAGCTTAATAGGGCCTTTTTAATTATTCTACGACATAAAATATGTCAGTAAGTTCCCCACTCGTAAACTTGTGAAGCTTCTGTGTCTTAAAAACTGCAGTTGCTAACAAGTACCTAAATGAGACAACTGAAAGTCATTACATTGAACATTAGCTGTCTTTAGCTGAGCGGTGGTGATGAGAAGTCATGTGACCGTAACATAGTTTGTTGGAATTTAGGTTTCAACTATTATAAAAGGGGTGTTAGTAAGTGGATATTATCCAGCTGAAGAAAAGTATCATAAATGTGTGTTTTCTACAGAGCTTATTTTCTGCGATATTCCAAAGTCCAATGGAAAAATCCCACTGATTTATATCGAGGTAGCCCGAGTGATGCAAACCCCGGGGTTGGCCGACAAAAAGATATCATGTCTGAACCAATCTAATGCAGTAGAATATATTTGTACAACATTTTCTCATCTGTGTCTCTCAGAATAACCCAAATGCAGCAGCAGAAGGGGAACCTGACAGTGCAGGTGAATGAAACTGCAGCCAAACAGCTGGCCCTGGAGGAAGAGGCTGCAGGCATGAAGATCGCCCTGGGTAACATCACATCATCCTTACATCAGCTGGCTCTGACTGAGACCAGCCCATCACCAGAGCACAAACAAACACATGCAGCCAAGCACACCACAGAGGTCAGTCTGTGCAGCACCTGCAGGGTACACACTGAATGTGAAGCATTATTATGTCACATTATAGAGCCATGAGTGAATCATTTAGTCTTATTACAGCCGGCTTGATAGCTGCACATATTATATAAGGAACCATTCCAGCACATTTAACTAAGCTCATATACGGATACTAGTAGCTATCATTTTATGACGAGTGGGCTGTTAACTCCTCATCATTTGTTCTTTCTTGATGATTTAACATTTGGCAAGCAGAGGGGGACACTGAGTAGGCACAAGAGAGAGGATCCTGGCAGGGTTTGCTGCTCATGGGGGTACACGTTGTTCCAGAGGAGGGTGATTAACCACTGCAGCCTCTCTGAGCACACCAAACACTGTAAAACAACACAGAAATAGTTCCCTAATATTCCCTCTGCAAATGGCTGATTAAATGTTTTTGCAAAAATGAGAGAGAGAGCAAAGCGAGATTTGTTGTAATGAAAGCATTCAAGTGGTGCGTTTTTTCTTCCTGTTTAGTGGGGCGAGGACCTGTTAAAACAGACGGATGAGCTGGACCGGCAAATTCAGACCAAAGACAATCTCGTGAGGAAGATGAGAGAAGAGATGGAGCCTCTTAAACAAACTGCCAATAAGAAACTGGAGATAGAGGAGGACATCAGTGAGGTGACTAAATTAAATCAGCATGTGGCTTGATGTCTAAACACATTGAATGTTTATTGAATTGTTATATTAAATGCTTACGGTTTATTAGCCATGCTAGCAGCTGAATGTGTGGTTTTGCAGTTCTGATGGTCCACTACTTTTGATGAAAATCACTCAATGACTTTCACATGGATTGACTTTAAGTTTAGTACGCACATTAAAGAGCAGAGTCCAATCCGTTGTATTGAACGAAGTGTCTCGTTAACTACTTGGTACATTTCCATGATACTTGGCACAGACATTCATTTTTACCTCAGGATAAGTTGTAATAACTGTAATGATACGTTGAATTTCAGTATAGCTCAATACGTTACATTACAATCAACTAAACAAACTAATGACTGTCATTTGTATTGATTGATAAACATTAAATGATAGCATACCAACACACTAAACAGCAGGTATAATGTATACCTCTCTGGTTGCTAAAATAAGTATGTATAGAAGTCTATGAAATAATGACCAGCCTTCCTCATTGATTTATGACCTCAGTGAACCAAGTAAACAAGAGTTTATGGGCTCAATTGCTGGTCTTCTTTAGAAATAGATGTAAATCATGGTTCAATTTAAATTAAAACATTTGATAAAGAGATGTGTCTTTCAGGGCGTGGCTACCTTGTGATTGACAGGTGGCGGCCCAGTCGGAGTTTTGGCTGAGCTTTAACCCTCCTACAGCGTGTTTTCACTTCATGAAAGTTAATTGTAACATTTGTGGTCACATATAAAAACATTATACTTAGTTCCAACCTCTCATTTCACTTCTGGTTCCAAAAAAAACAGAAATACCAAACTAAAGGCTCCAAAACTTGAAAAACCAATGTGTGTCTTCCACGTCCAGGCTGCATGGCTGGAAATGATTGTAATGCTGTCCTCCCTCCTGTAATTGATATCTGTTTTTGCAAGCTTTACACTTACACTTGACTCCACTGAAGTTTTGTTTCCTCTTAAATGTCTCATTCTTAAGCTGCGAGCTCACAGTCAGGGGTCAAAGGTCATGGCTCTGACGTCAGTGGTGAGAGGGAAAGAGGTTGAGTCTGAAGCAATCGCCCTGCACAGAGAACTGCAATGTGAGTCTTTTTCGTTTCTGTTTTTCTCTCTCTTCACTGTCTGTCCTGCATTGTTGTTTTTGTTCAACAACATTTTTCTTCTTAAATTGAAATGTCAAGTGCAGAGTCTGAAAACAAACATATCAACAACAAGAACTGAAATATTTCTGTGATAAATATGTCATCACCATTGTAACATTTTGACCTAATCCCCCGAGTGTTGAATGCAGCAGCGGCTTACATTATGTGGAAAATGTAATGAAGTGGAATCTTTTGAGAGTTTCCAATGCGTCAAATTCATAAATGAAATATCGACTCTTTATGATGCGTGCAGAGAATCTTAAGTTACTCCTCAGACTCTCATGGAAGAAACTGAAACAACACAGTAAAAACAGAGCATGAAACATTTAAATACAATTCTGCCAGTAGAAAATAGTATGTTTAAGTCAAACCTTTTATAATTCAAAACAACCATGACTCCGTAAACCTGTTTTCTTAATCAGTTTTTTACCCAAATCTGTCACCTCAAGCTAGAACATGTGAATGTACTGCATACTAGATAAAAGATAAGTGCAAAAAGAAGTAGAGTGCAGTGTAATGTAGTGTACAGGGTATATGGACCTAAAATATACAAAAAAAAGAATGTGGAAGGGGTATCAATATGAAAGAGATGTCAGAATTGTTGATGTTTTCTGAGCTCTTCTGACTCACTATCACGTCACATCACAGAAGTGCATGCAACATTCATGAATAAGCAACATTTAACCCATTGAATGTCTTTTCCCCAGCTTGATATTTGATTGTTGCTCATTTAATCATGAGAATAATAATACATGAGACTTGTATAGCGCTTTTCTAGAAACTCAAAGACGCTTTGACAGAGAATAAAAAAATAAAAATAAACACAAAAAGAGATAAACA